GAAAAACGACCACAGCGGATTCGCGCTTACCCCCGACTCCGGCATTATCAATCGTTTGCTCAACATTTCATAAAGCAAACTTTTTCGATTTTTTATACCTGACTCAAGACTTACAGTTTAGCAGTGTGACTTTAATGTTTGACAAACACATTTTTGGCAAAAAAATGGTGATGAGATCATACTATCCAACTTTAGTAAAAGAAAGCCGATCGAAAACAAGAAAAAAAAAACATATATTTAAAAGAACAGTGATATAAACTCGTAAAATAACGCAATAAAACTAACAACTAACCAATCGCAACCATTTGCGCAGCACCCCGTTGAGTTTCCATCAATTCATCAAGTCTCTAAAGCGTGAAGATAAGAAAATGAAATAAACGGCAAAATGACTCTAACAGAAAGGAGAAAGAAGAACAATGACCACTAAAAAATACCTTTTCCAACGAGTCAATATAACACGCTTGACGCTCATTCTTTCGTTTTTCTTCTTCAACAGCTGCATTTAGACCTAAACGTCAGTATAAACTGCAATATGATCCTGAGTTTAAGAAGCGAATATCGAAATACAATGAACTTTTGACGCGAAATTATCGGCAAGCAGAAGCTCTAAGTAAACAATAAATACCTTTTGTAATTTCTTCAACACCTTTGGTGCTGAGCTCACGTTCCTCTGCTTTACTGGTAAGTTCCTGCACCAATTCTTCGAGCTGCTAAAAAGAACCAATATGATGAAAGAAGTGGATTTTATAATAGCAATTCATCAGCAGAAAGTTATAAAATGTTAGAAAGTTTTAAGAATCTACTACCCTTTCTAAATTTTATGCTGGTCAATCTAAATCTAACTTAAAAAACTTTTAGAAACTTGAAACAAATAAAAGTAATTTTGACAAGCAATACAAGAATCCTGTCATGCTAGTGACAGAAGATAGTACCTCAATGGATTCCAAAAAATATACTAACTGTAAAGAAAAAATGCGAAAACGCCTGAATAAACGTTAGACGAAAAAAGCAAAAAATCCTTGCCCTTGATTCATCGATTGCAGACTCCCGACCAGCTTCTGCACGTTGCAAATCTCCCATCAATTTTTCAATTTTCTCATCTTTCCTTTTCAAATCGGCAGTAAGAACTTCTTCTGTCACACGTCCCTTTGAAGACTCCCCCTCCATAGACTTTACTGTCGCTAGAAAATACTTCACTTATTTCTTAATTTTTTAAAAGCAAATCATCCAATACTTTTTTGCTGCGGTTAGAAAAAATAGGTCCACAGTGTTAAAGTTGTAAATGTATATTAAAAAAGCATAGCACATAAACCTATCAGACTGCTTCTCCTGCACCAGAAGCTAATTTTATTGCGAAACTCCCTAATACCTTGGCTTAAAACCCTCTCAACTAACTACAGCTTCCACCAACCTCATTTTAGAAAACCACAAAATTTTAAGAGAAGGACATGACAACAAACAGCTCCGCAATTTTATTTAAAAGTTTCTTCACCAAATGACTGATACGACAAAAAATTTAAAACTTTGGAAACAGATCGTCCAGTTTGTATTCATCTGCTTGCATTTTCAAAAAACTGTTCCTTCTTTAATATCGAGATCCGGAAAGCGCTACCACAGACCCAGAACACTTCCGCCACCCACCCAAATCCCGCTAGCGCTTCAAAGCACAAATTCCTTCACACAAATACTTGTCTGTTAAAATTCAATTTAACCAATTACCACGCAGCTTATTGTTCTCAGCCGTTAGCGCACGAATTTCTTCCTTTGCAAGCTCTTTATCAACGTCTGACTGCGCCAATTTTTTGGCTAGCTGATCCTGTTCAGCCAAAAGTTTCTTCAAACGTTTCAATTCTTTAGACATCTTACCATTGTTCTCAGCCAATTTTTCTCCTAAAAATTCCAATATGCAGTGAGCTTTTATTAGGCACAACATCAGTCACCTATTCACAAAAAATTTCCACCTACATGAAGGAAAAACCTTCATCTTGAAGTTACACAAGCTTTTTATGAACAAAAAATGAGTTTTCATATAAGAACGTATACCCTCTTGTAGTAGACTAGCCAGTTCGTTTTCCTTTTCTGTTAGTTTCTTTATTAACATCGTTTCAGTCGCACTGAAATCAAGCATATTAAAGCAGAACTAAAAAGGCACTTCGCAAAATACCTAAAAAAGCTCTTTATATGATATTATTAAATGTCACTTTACAAAGTAACCTTCCTTTTAAACGCGTTAAGTTAGCAAAAAAATATCAGCTGATCAGCAATTTGAATGCTGATTTTCATCTTTAGAACCTTCACAAGGAGGGGTAGGAGGAGCAGAAAAAATGAATGGAAAAAATGGAAAAGAACCCACTCAAACATTTCAAAAATATTATGAAATCCGACATCACGTCTCAAGCACTTGAAAGAAACAAATGTTTTCACTAAATTAAGTTCAAAAAAAAAAAAAAAAA